CATTTAACTGATGGATCCATGCCAACGGGATGAGGCCACGGTAAGCTCTGAAGAAACACCTGTAGGTTGAATGGAGGAAGAGTTTCGAACTCTGGGGCGCCGGGCGATTTTACTAACCTGAGGTTTGTGTCTGAGATTCCTCCTCGTGCTGAGGGTGGCGTTCATGCTACTTGTAGCACTATCTACTCTATGCGGCTGCTGTGGAGGGCTCACAGATGAAGCTATGCCTGGGAGAGCATTCTGAGAAGTCAGACGGGCGGGGCACACATAGTCATGCCTCGGCAGCCACAGGGAACCAACAGCGTGGCTCACTTCTGCCCAGCAGCAGGACTGGAGGTCAAAGGGTTGAGGGCCCAGCTTCTTGGCCAGTGCCCCTAATGATTTCCCTCTGCGGTGGGGACCGAGAAGCCACAGTCCATGTTTTCACTGAAATCTTGGCTACTGGTTTTTTAAAAAAGTGCCTTTCCCATTCCTCCAAACAGGCATGCAACACCCCATCTACATCATGTGGGAGAAACTGAAAAACGGGGTTAAAACTCTGACAACTGGGTTACCGAGACTGCTCATTCTTCAAACAGCGCGATGAGGAGCAGAAAAAGGCTCTGAGTGGATCCACAAGCCCACAGAACCGTGGAGGGGCTCTTCAGGGGGACCTGGGAACTCCTCAACATCCCGCGTCCCCTGAGATAGGAGGGGATGGGGCTCACGGTCCCTCCAGGCGACCTGGTGCTCTCCAGGGGTAAAGGACGGTGTGTTGGAAGGAGGACTTCACAAGGGGTCTGGGGACGCACACTCCTTTTCTCTTGTTGGCCTGCGTGGTGGATGTTTCTGATTCTCTTATTCCTCACGTTTCACCAGAGTACGTCACTGCTGTGAGAGCAATAGTGACTTCTGGATGAGGGGACCGCGGGGAAAGTAAATGACAAGCAGGAGTCAATATCAAAGACAGAACGAGGCGCCAGTGGTGTTCTGTAACTTCAGGAATGGAAATGAAGAGAGAAAGCAACAGATCTCCTTTTTGTTCCCAAGGACACAGGGAAATGGAGCCAGGTGTGTTTCTGTGTGCAGATATACCTCAATGGAGTTGGCTGTCACGACAAGAAATACGGCAGCGAGGCAGAGGCAGAGGCTTAACCTACCACGCCACAGCACCGGCCGCGGCAGCTCAATTTTTAAAATGCTCATGAGCACTGAAAACAGCCTGAATCAAGGATGAAATGAAGAATTCCGACTCCAGCACACAGTAAAGGAACTGAACAATTATTTACTTCTTATTGAACCATAATTGGAAATGAGCCTTCAGAAACGGATTTTCTGTGATGTTTTCTTTTTTCTCTTTTATTTTTTAAAGATTTATTTATTTGAAAGGCAGAGTTACAGACACACACACACACGTCTTCCATCCACTGGTTCACTCCCCAGATGACTGCAACAGCCAGAGCTGTGCCAATCTGAAGCCAGGGGCCAGGAGCTTCTTCCAGGTCTCCCACGCAGGTGTAGGGGCCCAGGCCTTGGGCTGTCCTCCATTGCTTTCCCAGGTCATAGCGGAGAGCTGACTCTTTGGAAGTGGAGCAGCCGGGACTAGAACCAGCGCCCATATGGGACGCTGGCACTGCAGGTGGCAGCTTTACCTGCTATGCCACAGACAGGCCCCAGCATTAGTTTTAACAGGCTTAATTCCCTTTATTTTTCTTGTGTAAAACCTTACGCTGTAGCTGCAGCTGGAGCTTGGGTCCTCTGCACAGAACTCTGGTGAGGGTCTTTACAGGAAGTCAGCGACTTCCTGATAGGGAGACTTGGTGAGCCCTTCTCAGAGGTCAGCGGTCAGACAGCTGTGGGTCTGTGACATGGCATCAAAAGCAGCCTTGGCAAAGTTGCCCTGCGGTGGCAGTGCGGCCTCAGACTAAGGTACAGCCATCACCAACGGCAGCCGGCAGCAGCAGCTTCTTGGGGACAGAGTCTAAGGTGGCGGGCATGAGGCCACAAGCGCAGGGCCACAGCGGCAGGTAACCTCGCAAGGCACAGTGTGGCATTTGCCAATCTTGTTCCCCCAGTAGCCTCTCTACTTGGGCACAAGGGAGAGCTTGGTCAGGATGACGGCCCCACGGATGGTGGTGGCCACCTCTTTGGAGCACTCACACCCAGGCTGAGCTGCCCACTGGAGTCCCAGCACATCTGTTTGGGAGGCGACACAGTTTTCAAAAACTCATCCTGGGGGCTGATGTTGTGGCATAACGGGTTAAGCCACCTCCTATGATGCCAGCATCCTATATGGGCACTGGCTCAAGTCCTGGCTGCTCCACTTCTGATCCAGCTCTCTGCTATGGCCTGGGAAAGCAGTGGAAGATGGTCCAAGTGCTTGGGCCTCTGCACCTGTGTGGGAAACCTGGAAGAAGCTCCTGGCTCTTGATCAGTATAGCTGTGGCTGTTGCAGCCATTTGGGGAGTGAACCAGTAGATGGAAGATCTCTCTCTCCCTCTCTCTGTCTGTTAACTGCCTCTCAAATAAATAAATACATCTAAAAATAAAAAAAATTTAAAAATCTAAAAAAAAAGAGACCAAGATCCAGCGTTCTCTGACATTCATGAATGAAACCTTCCTCTTAAGACACAAGTAGATATCACAGATTATTATACAATAGTAAGATTTTTGAAAATTCAAGTACTTGTGATCAAAGAATAGAGATTTTGAAAACTTATTTTAGAATGTACCTGATGGCTATTTTTAGTGATAGCTTTGAATGTAAAATTTAAACCTTTAAAGTTACTAAAAACCAAAATATATTGTTTAAAACAAAGTTTTAAATGTGGCAAAACAGATAATAAAAAGGGCCAGTGCTGTGGTGTAGTGGTCTAACCCTCCACCTGTGGCTCCAGCATCCTGTATGGGCACTGTTTGTGTTCTGGTTGCTCCTCTTCCCATCCAGCTCTCTGCTAATGTCCTGGGAAAGCAGTGGAAGATGGCCCAAGTACTTGGGCCCCTGCACCCATGTGGGAAATGTGGAAGAAGCTCCTGGCTCCTGGCTTCAGACTGGTCCAGCTCTGGCCACTGCGGCCATCTGGGGAGTGAACCAGCGGATGGAAGACCTTTTTCTCTGTCTCTGACTCTGCCTCTCAAATAAATAAATAAAATCTTTAAAAAAATTGTTTGAGAAATATCAAAGTCAAATTGTAAAATGGAGATAAAAAGGAGTTTCTTGATGGCTTCTTGCTTACACAACTACCTTAAACATCTGAAATGAATAATTTTTGATTTGCTAATATCCTAAAAGTACATAAGATAATATCAACTAAAAACTGCATGCAATATCTTGGTCACTGTTACTATAATTAATGTAGAATGTTTCTTAAAAACCCATGCAACTGAGTGGAACATGGGGGAGGAGAGCTAACCAGTAGGTTGCAGTGCAGTTAGGACGGTGTGAAAGAACAGACAATGAAGAACAAACTCTTAGAATTGCAGTAACACGCATATCACTCCCAAAGATAACTCAGAGATTATTCAAAAAATGAGTCGTCTTTGTGAATGGTTTTGGTTTACATGACAGAAAATAAGTGAGGCTAGAAAAATCACAAAATAAGCATCATTAAAATATGCCTCATTTCTGTTCCGGAGGGTCTTGTTCCAGAAAGACAGGTCGGCTTAAGCTGATGCAAATCCTGTCCACTGGTGAGGGCCCCACTAGGAAAGTTTACTCCTGTCGTCCTAATAACACTTGCTAGAAAAATTATCTTTTGAATGCTTATCTTTGCATCTCGACTCACTTCTCACTTTAATTCTCTTTAACGACAACTATCTACTTGCTTTTTAAAAAAGGTTTATTTTATTTACTTGAGGGGCAGAGTTGGAGAGAGAAATAGGGATAGAGAGAGGTCTTCCATGTGCTGGTTCATTCCCCAGATAGCCACATGGCCTGGGGCTAGTCAGGCTAAAGCCAGGAGCCAGGAGCCAAGGAGCTTCATCCAGGTCTCCCAGGTAGGTGCAGGGTCCCAAGCACCTGGGCCATCTTCTGTTGCTTTCCCAGGAACATTAGCAGGGAGCTGGATAAGGAAGTGGAGCAGTCGGGACTCGAACCAGAGCCATATGGGATGCCAGCACTGCAGGCAGTGGCTTTACCGTTATGCCACAGCGCCAGCCCCTCTATCTGCTTTACATACGAAGTGTCATGGAATCCCCCCGATGAAGTTCTTGATGCTTAAAGGGGAAAACAAGAGAGTCAGTTTCAACAGCAGCATGTTCTTTCAACACTGTGGCATGCTTGTTTGTGTTTCCAAAACAAAATAAAAGGTGTTCTGGTATGCAGCAATATCTTCAGCAACAAACCAGACAGCCCCAGAGAGACCTAACAGCTCAGGCCTGAGCTTCTTCCAGAGATTACGGCGACGCATGGCAGGGACACCACAGCCAACTCTGTCAGGGTCCTGCCGAGATTCTGTCCTCGTTTTGAGGAATCCTGACCCAGCCAACAACGAATGCTCCAGAATCTGTTTTAATCCTAGAGCGAGGCCACTGAGTAGTATTTTGAAATGCCCAGGGTTTTGAGATTTTCAGTAAATCAGGTTATTGTTCAGATTTCTACACCCCTCATGTGACAAAATCCTGCCTTTTCTTCCGTGTTCTTTTTCTTAACACCCTTCTTTCTTATCTTCCCCATTCTGTCTGCCAAAAGAACAGACATGGTAGCTACCTATTCAGACCAGCCACACATAATATTACAAGGTCGTTTGATCACCGCCACATCGAGACTTCATGAAACTTTGCCCAATCATCAGTAACAGTGCTCTTGGTCACATTTTGCTTCTGCGGGATTTTTAAAAGAGCGGCCATGTTTAATACTGTGAAATACGACCTGTCTCCTCCTCTCTCCACCCTCCGGAGCAGTGATAAATTCCAGAGCACGCTCAGCAGAATTGGATTATATTATGCACAGTACACACGCTCACCACCAAAACTCACTCCGGAATGTATGCACGGAGAGTGAATTGCTGAGACTTCAAAAATCCCAGTTCGTCAGAACTGATTTTATTAGCCAACGCACACCAAAGACGGGTGGTAAAGAAGCAGTATTCTCGCAGCTTTCATTCAACACTGAAGCCCTACCCCATTACAGACTGTGCTTTCCCAGTCTTTTGGTTAGGCCTTGCCAGCCGTGTGCCGCTGCAGCACCGAAGAAACCGCTTTGCAGCCCGTCACCTCTTCCGGCAGGCAGCCGTCCTGGTCTCGGAGAGTGGGGTCAGCGCCAGACTGGAGCAGCAGCTCCACGATATCCAGAAACTCACAGGCGGCGGCTGAAAGGAAAATCAACAGACAGGGAAGCAGGTTCACCGTGAGCCAGGGAGAAGACTGGTGGCAAGGCAAGTGCTGAGCGGTAAGGAGTGCCTATCTACCGGCATTCTGCTGAGTGTGGCGTCATCACACTGGGCCTTCACATCTTAGGAAAATCAAACACAGCTTTTTGGCTGCCTACAAACACACATGAACAGTTTTTTTTTTTTTTTTAATTGTGAAGCTTCTTCATTCTCTTCTTTAAGGATAAAGGGAAATTTTTAAAAAAGATTTATTCTTTAAGGATAAAGGAAAAATTTTTAAAAAAAGATTTATTTATTTATTTATTTGAAAGACAGAGTAATAGAGAGGCAGAGACAGAGACAGAGACAGAGAGAGAGAGAGGGAGAGAGAGAGAGAGAGATAACATCCATCTGCTGATTCACACCCCAAGTGGCCACAACTGCTGGAGCTGGGCCAATCTGTAGCCAGGGGCTTCTTCTGGGTCTCCCACTTGGGTGCAGGGGCCCAAGGACTTGGCCCATCTTTCACTGCTTTCCTAGGTTCATTAGCAGGGAGCTGGATGAGAAGTGGAGCACCTGGGACTTGAACCAGCGTGCCCATATGGGATGCTGGCACTGTAAACAGCAGCTTTACCCGCTACATCACAGCACTGGCCCCGGAAGTTTTTAATTTTTAAAAATCATTTATTTGAGAGGTACACAGAGAGAGACCACTTTCATCCACTGATCTACTCCTTAAATGTCTGAAAGGGCCAGAATGGGGCTGGGCTGAAGCCAGGAGCTCAATCCAGATCTCCCAACCACTGGAGGACATCACTGCTGTTGCCCAGGGCTTCCATTAGCAGGAAGACAGAGTCAGGAGCCAGAGCTGGGTACTGGGCCCAGGTACTGAAATATGGAATGAAGTGTCTTAATGGGAGTCTCAACTGCTAGGTTAAATACCTGCCCCAAGAACCTGTCTAAAACAATAAATAGCACCAACAAGTGTCCCTGATATATCCTTGGCATAGGAAGGGGGGGGGGTGGAAGGAGCTACAGATATCAAGAGTTATTATCGGGCTGGCATGGTGGCACAGTGGGTCATGCTGCTACCTGCAACACCAGCATCCCAAATGGCAACTGGTTTGTGTCCCAGCCGCTCCACTTCTGACCCAGCTCCCTGCAAATGCACCTGGGAAAGCAGCAGAAGATGGCCCAGTGCTTGCATCCCCACCACCCATGTGGGAGACCTGGAAGAAGCTTTTGGTTTCTGACTTTGGCCTGGCCCATACCTGGGTGTCGCAGCCATCTGGGGAGTGAACCAGCAGATGTAAGATCTCTCTTTTTTAGTTTTTAAAAGACATCAAGAATTTGGCATGGGATTGCCTCAGGATGGACAAAGCACAGGGTTAGCACAGTCACCTATTCTGCAGATGTATGGATACGTAATTTAGGACAAAGCTGCATCACTGGTCAGTGAGGAAATTAGCTCTAATAATTACATGGTGCTGACGCCACTGGGCTAAAGGCAAAAACAGGCAACTCGTGGAAGAGGAAACATAAATGGCAATGAACATATGAAGAGGAGCAACCACACGTGAGCAATCAGGAGATGCAAAGCTCTGAGAATGCCAAGCATTTGGAGGACCAGGGCAAGGCACCGCCAGCCCCAGGCTTCTGAGAGTGTTCACTGGTGTGGATACTCTGGACAACTTAGTATTTCAGACTGCACAAAGCCTCCAACCCCGAATCCCACTTCTAGTTCCATGCTCTACAGAAAGCTTTGCAGGTGTTCTCCAGGAGGTATGTGCAAGATGTACACAGCAGTACTGTTCACAACAGGCCCCAAGGTGAACAATCCAAATGTTCGTTAACACTAACATGCCAAAACAGAACACAGTTCACTTTAAAATGAAATCCCACACAGCACTGAAAAGTAATGAACTACAAGTTCACCTAAAATGGATTTCTCTCTGAAACAATGTTAAAGAAAAAAAGTCAAAAGAATACACAGGGTATGATTCCTTTTAATCGAAGTTTTAAAATAGACAAAATCAAACACTGTTGTTCAGACTTCCAAGTACGCAGTGAAACTTTAAAGGAATAATTAATATAAAACTTAGAATAGTGATCCAGGACGTGACAGGAGAGCCATGTGCCTGCAGAGCTACATACAGGGGTTTCAAAGATACTACTGAGGAGGTTCTATTTTATTTACTTATTTTAAAAAGATTTCATATCTGAGAATTAGAGTTACAGAGAAAGAGGGATCTTCCACCTCTGATTCACTTCCCACATGGCTGCAATGGACAGGGATGGGCCCAGCTGAAGCCAGAAATTCCACGCAGGTCTCCCACCTGGTGGCAGTGACCCAAGTCCTAGGCCATCGTCTGCTCAGGCAGGAAGCTGGCCTGCAAGCAGAGCAGCCGGTCTGCAGCTGGTGCTCCCGTCTGGGACGTGGGATGCTGCCATCACTAGCGGCAGCTCAACCCAGTGCATGCTGGCCCCAAGGGTTTATTTCTTAGGTGGTGGCACCTTTTTCTAAGGCCACATTTTAAGTTCTTCATGTAACTATATATTCTTTTGTAATGTGGTACGACAATAAGAAAGTTCCAAAGAAGGGAAGGCCGGCTCTGGAGCTTGATTCCACAGCCCTTTTACGGAGTGCTCTCTGCACTCTGCCGCTAAGGATACAGGGACGGTTTCTCTCGAGAACCTATACAAATTTGGAAACAGCCCACTTTAATACAAAAGAATGATAAACACTATGGCAGAGACACACACACTGCAAAGGCACTGGAGAAGGCAGAAAGTGGGGGCTTAGGAAAAGCACACGAGCTGGTGTAGAAGCTGGCTTTGCAGACTAGCATGAAATCCTTTGGCCACTGCAGCGGGAAAACACACCAGCAGAAGCAGGAAAGTATCTGCTGACTCAGGCAGTAAGAGCGAGCAGAAAGCAGACAGGCAAGGCTGGCAGCGTGGCGCAGGGGCTGAGCCAATGTCTGGTGTCTGCACCCCATCTGAGCACTCGTTCTGAGCAGGGGCTGAGCCAATGTCTGGTGTCTGCACCCCATCTGAGCACTCGTTCTGAACCAGTGCTGGCTGTTCCACTTCCGATCCAGCTCCCTGCTAGTGCACCCGGGAAGGCAGCGGAAGATGGTCCCAGTGCTTGGGCCCCTGCCACCCGTGTGGGAGACCTGAATGGAGTTGCAGGCTCCTGGCTTGGGGAATGAACCAGCAGATGGAAGATATCTTTCTATCTCTGTCTCTCCCTCTATCTAAGTCTGCCTTTCAAACAAATAAATAAATCTTAAAAAAAAAAAAGTAAGGAAGGAGAGAGGCTGGATTGAAGTCAAAATCCTGTATGGTCTTGACTGCCATACTAAGAAGTTTGGGTCTTACTGAGTGATCCACAGATAGGAACAAGGAGGGAAGTGGCATAATTCAGCCTCTGTGCTAGGATGGTAATTCTATAAAGAGCGACTGAGGGAGCCAAAAAATTTGTGGCAGGTGAGCCAATTAGGAGACCGTGGTAGTCCCTTAGGGTCTTGAAAGTAGCCCATGTCAGCAGGAATATAAAGAAGGGTATGAATAACGGAGCCATTGAAATTCAAGTAGGACACAGAGCAAAGTACTGGCTGTGCTGCAAGAAGTGAGGCAATCAGAAGAATCAAACGTGACACCCTGTTTCCAGTCTGGGGGACCACAGATGTCTGACATTATCTCTAAAATCAGGAACTACGGGCAGTTGTAGTGCAGCTGGGTAAACCGCCGCCTGCAACACTGGCATCCCATGTAAGCTCAGTGGTGCCAGGAAACAGCTTTGTTGGATACGCAGTAGGTAAAATGTGAATCTGAAAACAGCTCATGCCTCACACACTATTCTCTCTATCTGCACTGTGTAATGTGACTTCCTGAAGACCTATCTTTTGAGCTCAGAAAATTTAGCAATTTTTCTGGACAGTTTTCTTTCTTATTTTCATTTATTCGAAAGGCAGAGAGACAGAGATAGACATAGATCTTCCATCTGATGGTTCACTCCCCAAATGCCTGCAAGAGTCAGGGGTGGACCAGGTCAAAGCCAGGAGCCTGGAACTCAATCTGGGTCTCCCATGGGGGCGGCAGGGAACCAAGTACTTGATCCACCATCTGCTGCCTCCCGGGGTGTGCATTAGCAGGAAGCTGGATCAGAGATGGAGTGACCAGGGCTGGAACCAGGCACTGTGACAGGAGACCAAGAGTTCCAAGCAGCGACTTAACCACTGTATCAGAGGCCTGCCCCGCTGTCTGTACAGTTTTTTAAGAGGCAGCTACTCAGGTCCCACTTGTATGGCTGACCACACTTCACAGCCATCCGTTCTCCTGTGTAAAGGAAGAGGGTTTCTCTCCCCCTGGCTTACTGAGGCGACATTCACTTTTAAAGAATTCAGTACGCTCTGACAGTGTCTACTTGTGTAACTGCCACCACGGCCACGACAGGACACGGCCATCACCACAGAGGTCCCTGCTGCCTCGTGCCGTCCTCCAGTCTGTGCTCAGCCACAGCCTCTGGCAGCGCTCGACTGTCCCCGTGCACTGGCCTTCATATACCACACAGTTTTTGGTGTCTGGCTTCTTTCACTGAGCAGACTGCCACGGAGATTCGCCCAGGTTGCTCCTGCAAGTATCAGTATTACTCCCTCTTCATTGCCGAGTATTATTTCATCATGTGGATGCATGCAGGCGTCTGGGTTGTTTGGCTCTGACATTATCAGTAAAGATCTCTGTGTGGACCTGGACACCTTTTGGGTATGTATCCAAGAGTGGAACTGCGGAGTCACACAGCAAGTGAATGTTTATAAGAAACTACCAAATCTTTCCCAAGTCTGCTTATGTGCTGATCATCTTTCTTTCTTTTTAAGATTTATTTATTTATTTGAAAGGCAGAGTTAGGGAGAGGCAGAGGCAAAGAGAAAGAGAGAGAGAAAGAGAGAGAGAGAGAGAGAGGTCTTCCATCCGCTGGTTCATTTCCCAAATGGCGC